TATGTGCTGAAAGATGTATGTATAGATTCTATGAAATACATGATGCAATATTTTACATGTATTTTAATTAGTACTAGACAGTAGTACTACGAAAACATCATGTGTAATTAGTATACAAACATAAAATTACACCATACACAAATTAACAAAGTATGTTTTAACTAAGTCGCTTTACAGTAAAAAAGTAATTTACGACGCACCTGAGCAAGTACAATTACTTTAATGGTAACAACTTGTCCGGTAAAAAATACCGATATTGTAGCGGTTTTAAGAAAAATATATGCATTGTTATGTAAAGCTAGATTAGTAATCATATACAGCTAGATTTTATTATTATGTTTTTTTCGGTAGTTTCGTTTTTTTCTTTGTGAAAATAAACTTTTACTTCATTAGAACATATTTCGTGTTTTCTTGAACTGCTTTTTTGCAGTGAATTCCAGATGGGGTACACTAAGACATGTTCGGTACACACTTATTTTATAAAGGACATTGAAACTGGCATGTGTTGGCTAGCTCAGTGTTCAAACAGAATGAAATCTCTATTTTCCTGCTGGCCGTTCAGTGTCCAAGCAGCACGTTACAGTCGTCTCTGTCAACAATAGATCTAGTTCTTTTAATAAGTGTGTAAACACATTATACAAGTCTAAAGGTATTCTGTTAGTCCTGGAGGCTGATGAACTTCAACTCGACCGATCCATTTCAATGCCCAGAATAAGTACGTTTTTAAACCTACCAGATGTTACGAATATTAAACATTTTATTACCAATTAAGCGAAAATGGCCTTTGAGGTGCCGAAGACTGTCTGAAGTGGTTTCCAATTGCATAGGTAAATCTACGCCACTTGCGTATTGTATTAAAATGAATAAGTACTTCATTTTCACTTTCGATGCCGACACAATTTGAATCGGTTTTTGGTTTTTGTTAGTTGAGATTTTGTGTGGCTAATTTATTAGACAAATCATATTGCTTGATTTTGATAAGTATATTATTGAAGCAATCGGACAGGGATATTTAAAGATAATAAACAATCAAACCGTAAATTCATGAGAAAAATGAGTTTCTCAATTACTTCTTAATAACAAATTAGAAGTATCCTCATCGAGCAATAACGCAAATTCCAGAAAAATGCTAGAAAAGTGCTATTTATCAACAAAAAATGGTATTTCCTAATCATTTCCCATTAGACCTATACAGCTGTTATTTTGAACAATATTCAACTGTACCCTCAAGTAAGTTGAAATAGTAATTTCCCAATAATTTATCAAGAAATACAAAAACTTTAATTGGAAGCAAACGATCTGCTGAAGTATCAAGAGCAAAGATTACAGATTAGTGGTTAGATCAATAGAATCACTGATCGATGAAGTACAAATTAAATGAAACTGTTCTTATAAAGCTTCTTTTGAAAAATCTTAGTTATATGAGCCTTTGGCCTGAGTGAAATGTCAATGTGTTCAATGATTTCAATGAATAATTTTTTCAAAGAATCTAAAACATAAGTATTACATAATAAAATTTTTGAAAAGTTATTTGCACACAGTTTATGTTTTTTTTAATATGCAACCAATGCATA